GGGAAGGGGAGGGAAGGGAAGGGGAGGGAAGGGAAGGTAAGGGAAGGGAAGGGAAGGGAAGGGAAGGGAAGGGAAGGGAAGGGAAGGGAAGGGAGAAAGGGAAAAAGGGATCCCTGGGGAGGTCCACAAGGAGAACAGGGAAGCATCTCCCCTCCCGCCACCCCAAAATCTGCTCCTGCATGACCTGGGGATGCCATTCCCACACAAATCCCATTGGAATGGTGCTCTTAGGCCGCTTCTTTCTGGAGCTTCCCTGTTCCCCTCCATGGACCTCCCCACCACCGAGGCTCGGGGACAAGTCAGGCTCCTGTCCCCTGTCCCCTGTCCGATCCTGGCGCTCCTTCCCCAGCACACGCACTACCCGCAGTTTTCCAGCCGGGAATTCGCGGGGCGGACGCGGCGCGGGCCCTTCGGGGACGCGCTGGCCGAGTTCGATGACTCCGTGGGGCAGCTGCTGCAGGCGCTGCGGGACAACGGCCTGGAGAGCTCCACGCTGCTGTTCTTCACCTCCGACAACGGGTGAGGGGTGGGGGCACAGTGGGGGACACCTCAAATGTCACCTGGGTCTGGTGGGACATCCTCAATGTCATCTGGGTTTGGTGGGACACCTCCAATGTCATCTGGGTTTGGTGGGACATCCCCAAGTGTCACCTGGGTTTGGTGGGGCACCTCCAAATGTCACCTGGGTTTGGTGGGACATCCCAAATGTCACCTGGGTTTGGTGGGGCACCTCCAAATGTCACCTGAGTTTGGTGGGACATCCCAAATGTCACCTGGGTTTGTGGGACATCCCCAAGTGTCACCTGGGTCTGGTGGGACACCTCCAGTGTCACCTGGGTTTGGTGGGACACCCCCAATGTCATCTGGGTTTGGTGGGACACCTCCAGTGTCACCTGGGTTTGGTGGGACATCCCCAAATGTCCCCTGTGTTTGTGGGACACCCCCAATGTCATCTGGGTTTGGTGGGACACCCAAAATGTCATCTGGGTTTGGTGGGACACCCCAAATGTCACCTGGGTCTGGGTCACCCCAAATGTCATCTGGGTTTGGGTCAGGTGTGTGACACCCCAAATGTCACCTGGGTCTGGTGGGACACCTCCAGTGTCATCTGGGCTTGGTACATCCCAAATGTCACCTGGGTCTGGTATGACACCCCCAAATGTCCCTGGGTTTGGGTCATCCCCAAATGTCACCTGGGCTTGGTGGGACACCCCAAATGTCACCTGGGTTTGGTGGGACACCCCCAAATGTCCCTGGGTTTGGTCCCCCCCTGTGCCAGCCGCAGTCCCCCCGGTTCCCCCCGTGTGTGTGACCCCGCTGTGGGGTGCCCGGCTGGGCTGTGCCACCCCCTTGTGCCACCCTCGGGGAGCCAGAGCTGCGCTGGCACCACCCAGTCCTGTCCCTGTCCCTGTCCCTGTCCCTGGTATCCCCTGTCCCTGCTCCTGTCCCTGTCCCTCTCCCTCTCCCTCTCCCTGGTACCGCCCGGTCCTGTCCCTGTCCCTGTCCCTGGCACCTGGAAGTGGCACCTGGTGGCACCCGGTGGTGGCACCGCCCAGCCCTGTCCCTGGCACTGCCCGGCCCTGAACTTTGCACCCGTGTGGCACCTGGAGGTGGCACCTGGTGGCACCCGGTGGTGGCACCGCCCAGCCCTGTCCCTGGCACTGCCCGGCCCTGAACTTTGCACCCGTGTGGCACCTGGAGGTGGCACCTGGTGGCACCCGGTGGTGGCACCGCCCAGCCCTGTCCCTGGCACCCAGTGGTGGCACCTGTGGTGGCACCAGACCAGCCCTGTCCCTGACACCACCCAGCCCTGTCCCTGGCACCCAGAGTGGCACCCGGGGTGGCACCTGGTGGCACCTGGAGGTGTCACCGTTCCTTGTCCCCAGCCCCTCCACGCTGCGCATGGCCCGCGGGGGCAGCGCCGGCCACCTCAGGTGTGGCAAGGGCACGACCTACGAGGGTGGCATGAGGGAGCCGGCCATGGCCTACTGGCCGGGCAGGATCGCGCCAGGTGAGCCCTGATGGGTGTGCCAGGTGTGCCAGGGGTGTGCCAGGGGTGTGCCAGCTGTGCCAGCTGTGCCGGGTGTGTGCCAGGGGTGTGCCAGCTGTGCCAGGTGTGCCAGGGGTGTGCCAGGTGTGTGCCAGGCGTGCCAGGGG